AGAACAATTAATCACAAGGAAAAAATCCACAGAAGAGCGAAATAACAGCACAGAAATATTCCCGCCAATTTTGTCATAACTTCGACGCGTCCGCAMADCYKDGAAATCGATTTGCGAAGATGAAAAGCAATTTAGGCTTATCTTAAAAAGGATTTTATAGGAAAATTCATTGGATGACGAGGGAATTAAAAATTCCGCAATGAATTTCACGAGAAAAACGATATCGTTTTTTTGAGTGAAATTCATTGCTGAATTCCCGAGTCATCCAATGATTTTTTCTTGAATCTCATACCAACAGTTATTATTTACAATTGGAAAATTTTTCGACAACGTGAACCTCGTCATGATCACGCGCCCTTCGGAAGTCATTTCGTAGCTGACTATATGATTAGCCAATACTGGGAAACGATCACAAATTTATCTGTTAGTGAACGTTTCATCATTTCATTCACTAAGTTAGTTGGTAAATTTACTGTTTTTCAATCCCGTGTTAACAAAACGTCTTATTTATAAGGCTAGAAAGCTAATTATGGACGGTTGACGCTAAAAATCGATGTATTTTACATCACATTATCGAAAACAAGCGAAGATATGTTATTCGCTGTGATTATAGCTGGTCAAAAGGGGATCCAGAAGCGAAGAAAATACACTGAAAAATACTACAATACATTTGTATTTGCAAGTCGTTGTTTTTACAATGATTACTACATAAGCTTATAGGTAAGTAGTAAGCGATAATTGTTGTTTTCTTCGGCCATGGCGGTGTTTTTGGGTATCGATAAAAAGCTGAAACTGAAAGAGCTGAAAGAGCTGAAAGAGCTGAAAGAGCTGAAAGAGCTGAAAGAGCTGAAAGAGCTGAAAGAGCTGAAAGAGCTGAAATTCCAGAAATTCCAGAAATTAAGATACTCACGATAAATCTTTTTCGTTTCAAATTACCAAACAAAACTCATAACAAAAGCGAGCTTTGTACTATCCTTTATAGTACAACTAAAATTATGGATTGCTCAGTAGAATTTTTATTTCTTCCATTTGTTATTTTGTCATTAAAATGTCTTGAACGAATTTAAACGTAGTTAAATGATGCTTTTTATTACGCACCAAGAACAACAACCTAATCAATTACGGCGTTTTTCGTGCCATGATTTGAGTGAGAACGAGAAACCCTAGAGATTGTCTTGAACCGACGAGAGGGCGTTTGCTTGGTTCGATTTGAAAGTAAAAGAGAGAAAGAATTCGACGTGAATCTGGTCAGAACGGAACTGCAGCGTGACTAAGCTAGACAGGAATAGGAACCCGGTGCATGACCAGCGCTATAAACCGATACTCTCTCTGGTAATTACCTATCATCACTGATAGCTATCATGGTACAACGAAAACATACGCGTGACGGACGTCCCTGAAACACGAAATGTATAATAAGTATACAATCCGCGAACTTTGACCATGGTTTGGTTGACGAGAAAACAACAACAACAACAAAAAAACAAACAGACAAAAAATAGCATCCTAGCAAAAAATAACAACAATACATTGTCCATATTTTAATAATAATCAACTTTAAAATATTGTACAATATTCAAATTCAAATTATTGTACAATATTGACTTGCGTATATATAACATCATTCAAAGATTTACTTTTCTGACATATGGTGACAGTTTACCCCTGCTCAGTGCCTTTAAGGCATGGCTCACAGAAAAATATGAAATATTACATAAATTTATTGTATAAAATCGCCATTTGAATAAAATATGTTCATACTTGGCCAACATCAGTATTTTGACAAACGAAGTTGTTTTAGCAGTTTTTGTTGCCATAGAAACCAAATCACGTGACCTCAGGTCGCCATCTTGGATTTTTACTTTGAGCTTCATGGAGACCATCACAGGCAGTATCAAATCACATAAAAAYGCACGTTCAAACAGGTATTTGCGTACTTTATATTGATCTAATTGGAAAACACGGAATAGTCTTAAAGACATATTGAAATTTTATAAAGAATTTTCAAAAAATGACAAAAAAAATATAGGAAAATTTATTCCAAGTCGTAACCCGAATATCCAATTAGATCTATATAGAATACTCTTAGGAGTATTCAAATATGCATTTTTATACCATTTTATACGGTTTGTGATTGTCTCCAAGAGCTTCAAAGAAGAAATCCAAGATGGCGGCTCTGAGGTCACGTGGTTTGGTTTCTATGGCAACAATAACTGCTAAATAAAATTCCATTTACCAAAATACGGATACTGGCGGAGTATTATAAGATTCTATTCAAATACCGATTTTCTACAATAAATCGATGCAATATTTCATATTTTTTCCAAAAGCCATGCCTTAATGGCCCTGAGTGTGGTAAACCTACGAAAGTCCCCGCGAATGACCTCACAATAGGTGGTTGGCTTTGTTGACCAATGAACAATGAGGGAAAGGTGTTGCATCTCCCAAAAAAGTAACTTATAACATACCTGATCATAGTCCAGTCCTGGCCTCTCGTTTCCGACGCTCGCGGAATCGCTGGGGAAAGAGAGTCCAGTATAACTTGCATGCGCATGTGCAGGACAAGCCAATCAGAATAAAGTTGAATTTTGAGAGCCCGCAATTTATAATGGTCAGTGGTTTGTTTACTTCACGTGCACGCAGACAAAGGGAAAGAGAGTATAGATCAAGGATTTTCCAAAGCCAGTACTAAGATTTACAAAAACATATTTTCCAATTGTTAATTCGTGAATGGCTTGAAGCTGTTCGAACTTAGGACTAAAATTATATTTACATTTTTTAAAGTCATAACTAACGGCATTTAAAAAAGCCGGTCCAAAATTATCTTTGTATTTCAAGTGGAAACTACCTTCCACCGCGCTCTCCGCCATCTTGGTAATTGTATAGGACTAGGTAACCTCGTGATTACCACATCGGTGTGGTAATCACGAGGTCGCTAAGCTGACATGCGCATGCAAGTTATACTGGACTCTCTTTCAGCGATTCCGCGAGCGTCGGAAACGAGAGGCCAGGACTGGACTAACCTGATCATCGTCCTTTTTGACAGCTAAGGTCAAAGTGAACCAGAGCTCTTATCAAAACAAATATAAGCCTGTGTACAGACTGATTGCCTAAGTTCGCTCTGTTTAACTACGACTTTTTGCCCGAAACAAAAACTGCAACGTGTGACAGCGTTATCTTTGTAGGAAAACTTTTTAAACTTGTAATTCGAAACAAATTTAAAATGTATTATCTTAATTTCTGGAATTTCAGCTCTTTCAGCTGTTTCAGCTGTTTCAGTTTCAGCTGTTTCAGTTTCAGCTTCTTATCGATACCCGGTGTTTTCCGACGTTTGTTGTTGTTTTTTATCGAGACGACGTCGCCTTGTAGAGGCAAGTGAAAGATGTTTTTTGCGGCTCTTTTCGATGTTGAATAAACTGACTTCGAAGTTTGGTATTTCGTATTCCCCCTCTGGTTGTTTTGAAAATTTGAAACTGGACATGTGAAATAACAGTAGCTTAAAAAGCGAAGCGAGTAAAAAAACAACAAAGCGCGGGCTTCCTGACTTTTCATTGAATTCAGCTTTTCAATCCGCTAACAAATATTGGTCGTTTTTATAGAACAGCGATATTGTAACAAAGCCTGTATATCATTTTTGGTTTCTCTATGAAAAGAGCTTCTATTCTTGTTACTTTAAATTGTTATTTGTGAAAGAAATGAAAAGAAAATACGACAAAATCAAAATTCAATCGCGCGGGATCCCTGATTTTTCATTGAACTCAGCTTTGAAGCGTTAGATTCCGCGCTGAATCCTTCACTATGTACGTCACATTTTCGTCATCTCGGACCAATCAGCGCGCGATTTAATTATGTGATATGAGATTTGATATTTCGACAACGAGAAAGAGATGATACTTTATTGGAAATACTTCAATAATATGGACCAATATGGGAAAAAGCTGGGATCTATGCGAAGTTCTTTTGTCGACTAAAAGTGTGGACATTTCGAAACCAAGACCATGCTAGCAGTTAGATTGAAAGAGATTAAAAACAAAGAATCTACAGTCTTTTAATAAATTGATGAAACCTATGCTTGAAATAAGTATGGCTCTGTTGAAGTTGACCTTTGAGCGATAATTTATCGGAAGTTCGATAATGAAGGTAAAAAATATATTTTTGTATACAGTTTTCTGTGATATGTTCCAGGTATCATTTCCACCCTTCCCTATCTTTTTTTAACCGTGAGATGCATCGGAAATGACAGCAAATAATCGTGAATCCCTGAGGTCGAAAAAAGGCAAGGATATAAAGCTTTAAATTTTAAATTTCTTCAAAAAAAGGGAAAGAAAAATAAATAAATCAAAATAAAAAAAAAAAAGATGAAAAGTTTTTTAGGTGTTCGAGTTTCAAACGACTACATTAGCTATAATAGCCTAGAATTGATTTAACTTATATTGATATTAAAACACTGAAAAGCATAATAATACTTGTCATTTAGGGGCGTTTCATAAGTCGTTTACAACATTCGCTTCCTTGTTGCGTACAATTTCTCGTCTGCGCCTCGAGATTGTAATTCCCATACAAAATTGCCTGCTCATGTTGAAAACTATACAACAAATTCGATATAAGCAAATGATTTTGTTGTTGTCTTTATATCTTTACAACTGTACAACGTCAGTGGAATTAACTGTATGGTAATCAGGAGAGCCACTATCTATGTCACTTCTGATAGCTTTTGACTATCAAATCTTATAGTTCTGTGTAATGTAATGTGCGTAATGTAAGAATCTTCTCTTCTTCATCAGAAGTATGTTCGTATGCACTTGGTA